AAGCCAGGACAGGACAGGTAGAAATCGTCCTATGGTGGCTCTCAACCATCTACCAATGGTCATCGACGACACCTTGTGTCCTAAAGTGGATGGGTTGAAGGATAGGAATAGAGCGTCAGATTTTCGAAATGCCACCGTGTGGTCCAGATAGATGCTCAACGCCCTTCGAACGTCAAGTCGATGCCACTGATGCTCCAGTCTATGAGGTGGTTTCGGACAAAAATTTGGAAGTACCAACTCCTGCACTCTGTGGAAGACTGAATTTACTTTAGGGGTGAACGATCGATCCAATCTGAGAACCACTCTGTCCGCATGAAACACGCACAGGTCCTTTCTCATCAACAATGCTGCCAATTCGGAAATCCTCCTTGCTGATGTGATCGCAATTAAGAAGACCACCATATATGTCAGGAATTTGAGACGAGTGGTTCTTAAAGGCTCGAACGGACCAGATGTAAGTGCGGTTAACACCTTGTTGAGCTCCCAAGTGGGATAGCGGTGAATTACAGGAGGTCGTAAGTTTGCAGCACCCTTAAGAAAGCTGCGGACATGTGGATGGTGCACTATGGAATGGAGGTCACCCCAGGATATCACCGAGGCTAAGGCCACCACCTGTCTGCGCAAAGTATTTGGAGATAGGCCCTTGGTCAACCCCTCCTGTAAAAAGTTCAATAATTGACCTATTGATGGGGCGGTTGGATCAATTTTAGACCCCCGGCACCAGCGACAGAAAGCAGACCACGTAGCCTCGTATATACGATTTGTTGAGGACCGTCTGGATGCTTGTATGGTGGCAATGGCATCCTCTGAAATCTGTTGGGTCCTTAAACGGCTCCGCTCAACCTCCATACGGCTAGGCTGAGCCATTGTGGGTCCGGGTGAAGTACCGGTCCTTGCGAGAGGGAAACCCTTGACGGTGGAATTTTCCAAGGTGGTTGGCTCGACAGGTCCTGTAAGTCCACGAACCACATTCGCCTGGGCCAGTAAGGGGCGACCAATATCAATTCCGCTCGTTCCTCCAATAACTTCTGGATCAACCTGGGTATTACAGGAAGTGGAGGAAACGCATATAGAAGTCCGGGAGGCCACTGACATCTCAGGGTGTTGACGGCTTCCGCCCCCTGAGTCGGGTACCTTGAAATATACCGGGGCAATTGGGCGTTGAGGGGAGAGGCAAATAGATTGATCACCGGTTGCCCAAACCTCTGCACTGCTTCCTGGAAGATAGATGGGTGTAGGCGCCACTCTGCCTGATCTATCGTGGCCCTGCTGAGCCAGTCCGCTTGTGTGTTTAAGGCCCCTGCTATGTGCTCTGCCTTGAGCAAAAGCAGATTGGACTCGGCCCACTTGAACAACCTGGCCATCTCCAGCATCAGAAGTTTGGAATGGGTACCCCCCTGTCTGTTTACATGGGCCTTGGTTGTAATATTAGATCCTCGGGTTCGTCCTGAGACCCTGATGATAATGGATGAGGGTTTGATGTCCCTAGTTTAGCAGTGTTCTTTGCTTTGAACAGTAAAGATTTTAAAAGGTGCGGATAAAAAAGGCCAGAAAAGGTAGGTTGGTCCGGAATGAGGCCTTCGTCATCCAACATTCCTCGTTCTAGTGGGTCAGCCTCTGACAACCCCAAGTCCATCTGATGGATTGACCCCACCTCCATGGGAACATCCTGGTCATCTAATTCCACCTCCTCCCAAAGACCCTGGACTGGTAAGTCAGGAGTATTGGGGAATACCTGAGTTTGATGATGTCCCAAATGTGCAAAGGAACGAGCAGATAGGGATCCCGCTTCCGAAGTAGCCGAAAGGTATCTGGTCCGGATGGATTGCTGAACTCCAGCCGCAATGCCCTTTTTTATGGCCATCTCCATCCATTCCCTCATTTCGATGGGGATAGTCTCAGGTAATCTCTCCTCCTGTCTTAAACCGGCGGCCGTAGGGGTGAAGGTTGCCTCTGGGATTTGCCGGTCAGTGCTCATTGGAGGAGATATGTCTATGGGAGGCTGTCCAGAGATAGTCTGTCTGGGCTGGGTAGATAAGGCCAAGGGCCCCAGCAATGGACTTGGGTCCTGAGGTTGATGTGTCATAGCCATCTTGTCCGCCTCCCTGGCCCGTTTCTGCAACTGCCTTTCCAAGGCTTGGTGCCATCTATGGGCATCCTTATCTGCTGCCTTAGAGGCCTTTTTGGGGCCCACTGACTTATCTCGGGACTTATTTGTCTTGGAGCGAAAGACGTTGTCACCTTCCATTGTGGAGGACTGATTCTCGTGCCTCTAACTTTAATTTATTATTATTATTATTATTATTATTATTATTATTATTATTATTATTATTATTATTATTATTATTATTATTATTATTAGTACTTAGGGGTGATGCCTACCCCTGTGGTTGAAAGTAGAACGCTTCTCCAGGAGTGTAAGCCTATATATCTCTATATCTGTACCTATATACACACACATATATACACATACAGATATGTATGTATGTATGCATGTATGTATGTATGTAAAACTAAGTATATGGTGAACAGTATCTAAGGGTCCCCAACAAGGGAAACCCCCAATCGCTCCAAGCAAAAATATTCTGGATCCCTGGTCCCCAACAAGGGAAACCAGCTATACAGGACCTGGATGGATCCTTTCCTGTCAAAAAACATCCCGCTGTTTGAAATGGCACTTGCGGCTTCACTTCAATGTAATGATTCAAAAGGAATTGCAAAGAAATTTCTGTTTAAGAACTAGCCTGCTTATGCAATGCCAGCAAGATAAAGGAGAAATAATCCCAGGAAAGTGGAGTGGGAAGGTACTTGCCCCGGTCCCCAAGAAGGGAAACCAGCGGGGAATGGCGCCTGTGTATTTAGGCGCGAACTTGAAGCCAGGCGTTGAAAATGGCGGGAAGGCAGAATCTCCGATGTTGATTGCCTGAGCAGTTTAACGAGCCGCTGCTGCTGACTCTCTAAATGATCCTGTCAGTCAAAATGGCACAGAGGAGAGAGCCGCGGCTGCGAGCACTCCGCCAAGATCGCAGAGATAAAACGATCGGGGGAATAGATAAGCTAATTGCCTGACGCGGCCGTCTCAGGCTGCCTGCGGAGTGACAGGCTCCGCTTGTCACAAAGAGCTGCTCTCAACTGATCGGGGGGATAACCTAATACAGCCACAAGCCTTGAAATCGCCAAATTAATTGGGGAAAAAATTTACAAGCCAAATTAACCCAAGAGCAAACCTGAAATTTGAGTAGCTGAATCAGAAACTGTTCCAGTCAGGGAGTGCACAACCTCTTAACATGAAGGCTGAGCTAAAACTGGGGGACGCTGGGAAGGTGTCCCGTGGAGGAGGAGGAGCGTCCCGGAGTTTTAAGCCCAGCCTTTCCAGAAGAGACTGAAGCGCCTCCCACTTCTGGATCCTCTGAACAGCTCATGGGAGAACACTTTTCTGTGTTTCACACCAATTGAGTGGTGTTAAGACTAGACCCTTCGTTCATGCCAAAGGTGAACTCGTGGTTCCACAGATCCCAAGAACTAATTTTACCTGACTTTTGTCCGCATCCCGTGCACGCGTTAGAAAGATGATGACATACTCTTGACGTTCGGAGGGCGTTGAGGATTTACATCAAGAGGACATCGTCCTTCAGGAAGGCTGAATCCCTCTTTGTTTCCTTTCAACCTTCCACCATGGGTTACAAGGTAACTCCAATGACTGTGGGGAGATGGATAAGACTTTACATATCCAAGGCCTACCAAACACAGAGACTTGCCGTTCCTCCAAGGATAACAGCGCACTCAACAAGAAGCGCGGCAACATCGACGCCGTGGGCTACCCAGGCTTTTCTGGAGGAGGTTTGCAGGGTGGCTACCTGGGCCTCTCCTGCTCCGTTCATCAGGCACTATAAGCTAGACTCATTTGCTTCTGCTGAGGCAGCTTTTGGACGGAGGGTTCTGCAAAAGGTCCGTTCTGTATAAGGGATTCGGACTGCACTAGGCCCACCCGTAGGACATTATTTTAATATTATTTTCCCAAACAACTGATTGTAGCAAATATATTCAACACACCTTTCACCTCCTATTTTCCCCACAACCCTGTGAGATGGGTTGAGCTGAGAGAGAGTGACTGGCCCAAAGGCACTCAGCTGGCTTTCATGGCTAAGACAAGCTTTCATAGCTAAGACACTGAACTCAGTGTCTTCCACTTTCTAGCTTTAACCACTGGACCAAACTGACTCTCAATGAGAGGGTAAATATAGAATTGCAATTACAAAATGTAAATGTATAATTAATCCACTATTCTGATTCACTGATTCTATACTTTGATAACTGAACATTGTTACATTTAACAGAGTATGTAATAGGATATTGTAGTATAATTTTCAATTCCAAGCAAAAGAATTACCTCATAATTGCAGTTAATGAGAAAACATTAAAAGTACTGAGAAGTGTGACATTTTAGAGCTAACATATAGTAATGCATAAAAATCTTTCTGTCTCTCCACACAAAAATGCATGGTAAAAATTTCTATTCAAACATGTTTTTTATTTGTACATTTAAAAAGTTCACAGTATTTAACTTGTCATAATTTCTTATTAAAGAGGGATTTTACCAGGCATTAGCTGATATTTTAAGTGAACTTTACTTAACTTTACATGCATTTCAGCTTCAACTTTTGTTTAAATTATTTAGCTGAATGAAAAGTACACAAAGCTAATCTTTTGGCATTTTATGTACCAAAGTCCTATTTTATATTGAGAATTGGATAGCTAAGGGTTGTTTTTTTTTTGAGAAGAGGCAACAGGTTATAGTGTCTGTGATAATAAATGACAAGCTTGGAAATCAGGATATCAATACCAGGCTTTGAATTGACCATAGTATTAGGTTTAGGGTCAAGGTTCAATTTTTAAAAGGTTCAAAAATAATAATTAAAGTTTTTTCAGTGTTTTTTTTATGTTGGCTTATTTCCAAAGAATTTACCTATTAAGCACTATTAGATTTTTGTACAAAAAAGGTCTGGATTATCAGCAGGAATCTGATTATCAGCTGTTTAATTAGCATATTAAACTCTTAATGTTTTCTTTACAAAGGTCAAATGTAATGTGTTGTAAAGAACTATAACACACTCCAACAACGTTAATGGATAATAATCAAAGCACAGTTAATAGCAATGATGATGATGATGATGATGATCACAATGATGAAGAGAAGCCTGAAATTACTAAATTTTGGTGCCTTTTTAAGGACACTGTTTAAGAGTGATAAAAATAATTCAGCTGTACACTTAACTCTGTTGTAGGCTTCTGAATTATGCAGAAGAATGATTAATGTATTATCATCCTAAAATATTAATAACTCTGAATTATATCACACTGTACCATTTTCTCTAAAATAATAATTTTGCTTCCAATACAGAATGATCACCTATATTCACAGTACATTAATACTTAAATATAGGTTCAATGAAAATTATTAATTTCAAGTTATTCAGTATTCTAATGTACTACAATTACTTTACACTGTTTTAGAAACTGCACTGAGGTCAGTGCAGAACCAAAAATTATTATAGATTATTAGAAAATAGTATTTATTCAATTAAATATACCTCACTAAATTCATTATTTTTTTCGTAGAGAAATGTCACTTTCTTTCGTCTTGCTATATATTTATCAAAATCACAACCTAAAACAAACCTAATTTATTGATAACATGTTCATAAAATACAATGTAACAATGCAAAAATTAAAACTTGAAATAGATAAGCACCACTGGTCTGTCTCTGTGTGTGGATGTATCCATCTCCTGTCCATCTATCCCCATCTTCCTGTGGTTTTCCAAAGCATTCCAAAGAGGTTATTTCCACTACTTTGAAATGGTGAATTATGGGAAAGCCTGAGCTTGAGACTAGCAGCTGAGATAGCAACAGAGATGAAAGTTATTTGGTATTGTGATTCAAGGAAAAACACAGCTGCTCCTGCTGGCCTTCTCAGATGTCAAATCTTACAACAATGATCAAGAAGGCGATAATGTGCTCCATTTCAATTTGAAAAATGTGTTCATAAAAATAGTTTCGAAAAAGGGTAAAAAATATTATTAATCACACTTTACCCTGGAGTTTTAAGCACTTAAGCAAGAGTAGATATACTAAAAAGAAGGGCAGTTGATATATAAGTTATGCAAGACCTCTGTTCAAATACACTGCTCAAAAAAAATAAAGGGAACACAAAAATAAGATCTGAATAAATGAAATATTCTTATTAAATACTTTGTTCTTTACATAGTTGAACGTGCTGACAACAAAATCACACAAAAATTAGTAATGGAAATCAAATTTAGCAACCCATGGAGATCTGGATTTGGAGTTACACTCAAAATTAAAGTGGAAAAAACCACTACAGGCTGATCCAACTTTGATGTAATGTCCTTAAAACAAGTCAAAATGAGGCTCAGTAGTGTGTGTGGCCTCCACGTGCCTGCATGACCTCCCTACAATGCCTGGGCATGCTCCTGATGAGGTGGTGGATGGTCTCCTGAGGGATCTCCTCCCACACCTGGACTAAAGAATCCCCCAACTCCTGGACAGTCTGTGGTGCAACGTGGCATTGGTGGATGGAGCGAGACATGATGTCTCAGATGTGCTCAATTGGATTCAGGTCTGGGGAACGGGCGGGCCAGTCCACAGCATCAATGCCTTCGTCTTGCAGGAACTGCTGACACTCCAGCCACATGAGGTCTAGCATTGTCTTGCATTAGGAGGAACTTGGGGCCAATCGCACCAGCATATGGTCTCACAAGGGGTCTGAGGATCTCATCTCGGTACCTAATGGCAGTCAGGCTACCTCTGGCGAGCACATGGAGGGCTGTGCGACCCCCTAAAGTAATGCCATCCCACACCATTACTGACCCACTGCCAAACCGGTCATGCTGGAGGGTGTTGCAGGCAGCAGAATGTTCTCCACGGCGTCTCCAGACCCTGTCACGTCTGTCACATGTGCTCAGTGTGAACCTGCTTTCATCTGTGAAGAGCACAGGGCACCAGTGGCGAATTTGCCAATCTTGGTGTTCTCTGGCAAATGCCAAACATCCTGCACGGTGTTGGGCTGTAAGCCCAACTCCCACCTGTGGACGTCGGGCCCTCATACCACACTCATGGAGTCTGTTTCTGACTGTTTGAGCAGCCACATGCACATTTGTGGCCCGCTGGAGGTCATTTTGCAGGGCTCTGGCAGTGCTCCTCCTGTCCCTCCTTGCACAAAGGCAGAGGTAGCGGTCCTGATGCTGGGTTGTTGCCCTCCTACGGCCTCCTCCATGTCTCCTGATGTACTGGCCTGTCTCCTGGTAGCGCCTCCATACTCTGGACACTATGCTGACAGACACAGCAAACCTTCTTGCCACAGCTCGCATTGATGTGCCATCCTGGATGAGCTGCACTACCTGAGCCACTTGTGTGGGTTGTAGACTCCATCTCATGCTACCACTAGAGTGAAAGCACCACCAGCATTCAAAAGTGACCAAACCATCAGCCAGAAAGCATAGGAACTGAGAAGTGGTCTGTGGTCACCACCTGCAGAACCACTCCTTTATTGGGGATGTCTTGCTAACTGCCTCTGCTTTCCACCTGTTGTCTATTCCATTTGTACAACAGCATGTGAAATTGATTGTCAATCAGTGTTGCTACCTAAGTGGACAGTTTGATTTCACAGAAGTGTGATTGACTTGGAGTTACATTGTGTTGTTTAAGTGTTCCCTTTAGTTTTTTGAGCAGTGTATATCTTTGTAATCTGAACCGCAATTTTCTCATATATGTTTATGAACTAAGAATTCATTATATGTTTTATGCAGATATACAACATAAATTTAAAATAAATGACTGAAAAAATAATTAAATATTAGTTTAATTACAACTGAAGTAATGTTTTGATATTAGCAGCTGGAACAAAGGTATTTCACAAAACAATCCTGCATTTCTTTTCAAATTGCTAAAAAAGTTTTTAAATGTCATTAAAATTTCAAACATTTTACCTATCTATGTACTACTGAAACTATCATGTCTGTCTGATTATTTGTTAACCCTCAATTGGGCAAAATAGGAAATCATATGGTAACAATTGATAAATTATGGTGCCTTAAATGGGTTAATGTGACTTCTTTGATAAGATTTAGCAAACCTTGGCCACTTCAGTACTGCCACAATCAGCCACAATCACTATTTCAAAAGTTCTGTGCCAGGTTTCAATGGGAAAGTCAATGGAGAGTCCAACAGGTAGTCAGTAGTTGCTTCTGCTTTTTGTCCACCTATGGTGATTGTGTTTCTCTAATTAGATAGTGAAATATCTCTGAAATGATGAGTCAATGAATCATATGTTAGTTTATAAATTTATACATATATGTGTAACATAGAAACAAAGGAAATATGTAAAGTGTTTTAGAAGGGGAAAGATGTGATTTATATGATATAGAAATTTTAATTATAGATTTAGGCTTTTCTTTTTTTGTTTTGAGCAATAAATCATATTGTTATAATTTAATGTCTAAAGATCAACATTGTTAGATAGCCACTAAACCATGAACAATTTAAGATTACAAAAATGTAAATATTTTCAATTATTCTCTTGATGGAAAAGTATAGCTTTTCTGAAGCCAAATTGAAAAAAGGCTTACTTTTTCAAGTTCTTTGTGTTATATATAGAGCTCCTGCTCACGTATTCCTCTTCCTATTTATGAGATAATGAATTTTCACAAAAGACTAATAGGGTAAAATGAATTGGCACATATATAATTATAGTTATATAATTAATTGTTATAGTTACTGTACATATACTTTTAAGATCCTTGAATTATATTACTTGGTGTCATGTCACTGCAAAGTTTTAGATCCCAGCTTTTAGTTTGGAAAATATTGATTATAGCTGTCTATTTAATCAGTTTATAGAATAAGTAAAATATATTCTAAAACAATACTATTCATAATTACTTTAATCATGCAAAAAGATGTTCATTCATATATTTACTCATAGGCATCCCAGCTCAGTCATCTACAAATACAATCAAGGCAGTTTTCATTCTAAATACCACCATAAAACCAGACTGAAACAGGTTTAGATAATCTGCTTTTTTCAGAGAACTTTGAAATTATATTCCTACCGCCTTCTGAACATTATTCCATACACAAGAAGATTACAGCAGGATAATAGTTATGGAATTGGTTGGGTCCAGGGACAGCTGCGTTACTTCCTTCGTGCAAGGAGGCTCTACCATAGCATGGAACCAACTACGTCCTTAACTATCCATGAATTATTTGGGTCCAGAAAACAGATGGCTGTACTAACAGCATAGCAAATTCTGGATACTTCCTCAGGACTCATCTCAGATCACAAAAGATCACAAGATCACAAGGCACCATGGCCAGATCTGCTTAGTTGCAGTTCAGCTTGTAGTGGATATGAATCATTTTATCCACCAAAGAGACAGAATATTTTTCACCGCAGCATCTCATATGATCCAGTGGTCCATCCTTTCCAAGCAGGTCCAGGCCACCCAGAAAAAAATGCTGAATGGTTTATTAATGAAGATATTAAGGATATAAAAATATTAAGTGTTTCACTTGCCTTCATCCAGAACATTGCTTATTACCCATAGTCAATCAGACTTGAACTGGGATCTTGTATATAGTGTTCCATTAGTGCATTATCTCTTGGAAAGTAATACAAAATATACTATAGGATGAGCACGCAGGGAAAGAGGCCACAGAGATGTCACACACATTCCAAGGCCCAGCCACACACCAATTTCAAGCAAGAATTAAGATTTTGGCCCATCCTTGGGGAAAACCCATAATGTATGAGCTAAAATATTTTTAGACTATGGCTTTTTCATTTAAAAATCTAATTTTAAATGCTACAGTACAATGCAACTAATAGAGTGCCCCACTGCAACATGACTACTTGGTAGTTGAAAGGAGATAAGAACTCATGTTTATGGTTTAATTGCAAAAGAATGTCCTGAAATACATCAAAAACTTTTTTTTCTAATGTCATGCTAAGTCTTAAATTGAATATGCTACACTTTAAGCTCAGGATTTAGAAACCAGTTCCTAACTGTTTCCTTTACGACATGTGTTTTACTAAAGGCTATGTTACATTTGTATTTACCAGTATTTTAGTGCTTGTCATAGTTGGAATCAAGGTATAACATTCTTCTATATTAATTGTCTTCTATCTAACTTTTGGCAAAGAACTTATGTAGTATTTTTTTTTCTTTGTGTGCAAATTTTATACTGTTCTGAAATTAAAAAGTCCCCTAAAATGTACTTAAAATGTTAACATATCACTTTTTTTAAGGATTACATCTGTTATCTTTTAAATTCCCATATGGTTCTAAAGCTACATTTTCTGAACTTACCACAAAGAACGAAAGGGGAAAAAAGGAAAAAAGTTTTTCAGCTTTTTTTAATGCAATTAGAACTCTGTCTATTGTCCCAGGTCATAGATTGTCCACTCAGTATATGTGATAATAATACTCATAAATGATCTTGACTTTTTTTTACAACACAGAACACATTAGATTTGACATATACTTAATGGTTCCTGTTTATTAAGAG